GAGCTCCTCCTGCGGCTCCCCTCCCTCGGGGGTGCCTCCCGGGCAGGCGCTGCGAGCTTAGGCCCAGAAGTTGTAAGAAAACCCTCCCGTACTCGGCTGCGCGCTTCTCTGCGTGAGTATAGGGGGGTGGGTTTGTGTTTTAACGAGGGGAGAAACCCGAGGCTTCCCCCTTCTGCACTTCTCATCTCCTGACGGTTTTGTGCGGAGATCACTTGCTACTGATGTATGAAGCTTTGCAGGGTTAAGTTAAAGTAGGCTGAATGTGAGCCACTTCAGTGTATTTTGTAGTCGGCAGTACTTAACGCGTATACTGGCTCGGGACCACTTCGCTCTCGGAAAGCCTGTACTGATAAAATTCTTGCGGTGGCAGTGCCTTCCTAACTGAGGCACCGAGGCTGCGTTGTGGTGGAGGCTGTACAGGCAAGCAACAAAGAACACTTTGAGCTTCGTGAGACAGACTGCAGAAGAAAATGAAATTAACTCGGATTTGACCTTCTTGAAAAACATCGATACTTAAAAAACCTGTCTAGAATAATAATAATATTCTTACATGTCTCATGTGGGACAGATCCCTGAAAAACAACTTAACGAGGAATATTAAAGGGGTAAATGTCAGCTAGTGCTGTGAGGGTTTTTTCTTTTAAAAGGTAAATTCTTAAAGCCTGTACAGTGGAATTATTTGGGCATAAGCTAGCTCCGTAGGTCACTTACTAGAACAAAACACTTGCATTCTCTGTAAGTAATGATATATCGATGACTGCAGTTAAAATTCTAAGAAGTGACTGGTGGTGGTCTTTTTCTAAGTGGCTATTGCTTCAGTGCACAGCTTCGTATGCCTTAAAGGGACCTGTCTGTCTCTTTGGAGGATTGAGGTGTTTTTCCTGAATTTGTCAAAAATAGGATATCTTTGAATTATCTTTAATTAGGCATCCGAACCTGCAATCTTTTGTGTTTAATCTCTCCTCTGAATTTTCACAAACAGTACATCTTTTTTTTCTTGTAATAACAGCTCTAAGATGATTATAAATCTTAGTGTCCAACACTTTAGAGTCTGGCTGTTTTATACACGTATGAACTGTATTTCACATGTTAAAAGTTTAACTAATGGTTAGTATCGTAGATGGTTTATTAAGGCATCAAATATTTATATTGCAGCATTTTGTGAAGCAGCGTCCTAGAATGTTAGATTTAATTAACGTTACTGTTGATAAAGTAATACGGGGTTAAATGTTAATACATGATCACTTAACTTTTTTCAAAGTAGTTCTTTCAGATTTTACATCCTTCCAGTGTGTCTCATGTTGTCTTGCAATGTCTGGAATAGCAGTGGATGGTAATTTTTGCTATATAAAATTAGGTGATGGTAAAGATGGTAATTTTACTTAGTTTTTATTAAATTTCCTTTCAAAAGAACTGAACTTACTGAGAAATGTAAACAAAAAGTATTTCTTCACTGGACTGATTTAGCCACCCTAGGAATCTGCAGGAGTTAACTCAGGCCATTGAGGGGTGTCGGACATCTTTCATTACTACAGCAATATGTGATGTGAAGTAGTAAAAATGCGCTGTAGAGGTTAGCATTCATACCGAGGGTTGTGGACACAGAAAGCTTAATATGTAGTCTGAAGTTCATATGCGACCATGTATTTTCCCATGTAAATAACTATATTTTCATAACACTTCCATTGGTGCTTTTTAATTAAAATCTCTTGGTATAGTTTGAAGTTGCAGGCTTTAAAAAATCCTGCGGCATTTTTAGATGCAAATTCTGTTACGATGTCTCCTCAAAGACTGGATCTTATCATCAAATGCTAACAGTTGTAACTACCTGTTTCAGCTACTCATTTTTTTTTTCCAGTTTGCACTTTTGATTAAGTGCATTCCTGTTAGTGTTAGGCTTTTAGAACACTGAAGGCCGAGATTTCAAATAGCCTGCTGCTACTTAGATAACAGCATTCGTATTTGTATTCATATGTCATGTTTAAAATTCTTAAATGTTCTAGCAACTGGCTTTTTTTTTTAAAGTACTTTCTTAATGTGACAGGTAGTGTTGCAGAAAGGCTTGACATTACGGTATTTGGAACACTAGAGTAATTACTGCTTTGGTCATTCATCAGAAAACCTCAAGACTTTTTGTAAATATTAATTAAATACTGCTGTATTGTTTTCCTTTTATTAACGGGCAAAGAGGCATTTGTATATTTGAAAAGGTTTGCTGGTGTGTCTGATAGAAAACTCATTTGGTGGAAACAGTTTATACTGTGTTTTAAAATCAGGTATGCTGGCAAAATGATTTTGCTAGTATAATTATCTACTTTGGAGCTTTCTTCAATACAGCAATTCTGACAAAAGTAGTATTTTATTTACTCGTCCTCCTTTCTGCATTCCTAATACAGCTATATGACAAAATATTTTAAGTATAGTTCAGACTAAAGTATGAAGCAGAACTCTAAACAAAAAGAGGAAATTATAACTACATAAGTAATTTAAATACCAGGCTATTTTAATGTAACTTTTGGGGTTTGTTTGGTTTTTTTTAACCGGAGGTGATAGACTGTGTATGTCTAATGGTAAAGACTTGTTTTATACTGCAAGGGTGTCTAATTGCATACTAATACATAGCTGTGTGGGAAGAAAAAAGTGCTGTAACTCTCAAAGCTTGCATCAGTTAAATTAGAAAGCAAACAGAGATAACATTAGTAATGCACAATTGTGCAAGGAATGCTTCTATTCTGTGAAGCAGGAAACACAGAAAAGCCTAATCTTGCAGACTTCTTTTTTGGCAGAAAAAGGATGTGATGTTGCATTTCTTTACAGATGCATAAATGGTTTGAGTACCTTATCCAATATATTGAAATTTGGGTTCAAATCCCTCTGCTTTTAGGGGAACTTGAAACTCCCGTCTGTCAGTTCCCAAAGGGAATGCCTTAATTGCCAGGCCACTGGGTGTTTGGGTGTGAGCTGCTTCTAGACACCAGACAGTTTCATTCTTGAGGAGTAGTATTAACTTGGGAAGGGAGTGAATGGGGTATGTAGCCCAGGGACTGGCTGGCAAGAAGTGTGATCAAGTACAAATTGATTATTTGAACCCAGGTCTCCTTGTTGCAGGTCAAGTGTTGAAAGAGTAGATGAAAGGGATTCCCCCCCCAGCATGGTGTGAAATTCTGGAGACTTAAACCTCTGATCTTTCTCTTTATGTTTATTCTTGGCTGACTTGGCCAATTCCTACTCGTGTACTGGCTTAGACATTTATCATAGAATCATAGAATCATTAAGGTTGGAAGAGACCTCCAAGATCATCGAGTCCAACCATCAACCCAACAACACCATGCCCACTAAACCATGTCCCTAAGCGCCTCATCTACACGTCTTTTAAATACTTCCAGGGGTGGTGACTCAACCACTTCCCTGGGCAGCCTGTTCCAATGTTTAACTACTCTTTCAGTAAAGAAATTTTTCCTTACATCCAATCTAAACCTCCCCTGGTGCAACTTGAGGCCATTTCCTCTCGTCCTTTCACCAGTTACTTGGGAGAAGAGACCGACACCCACCTCGCTACAGCCTCCTTTCAGGGAGTTGTAGAGAGCAATGAGGTCTCCCCTCAGCCTCCTTTTCTCCAGGCTTCTGTTACATTTGAACAGCATCTGTAATGTGCCCTTTTCATTGTAGAGCGGAGCTTGGTTGCTTACCTGTGGGTTGTGGAGTCTAATAGGTGGCGTGGCGTTTAGATTCTCTTGTGGATCTAATTCTGCTTTCTGATAAGATGCCAAGTAATTAGATACAAAAATGTAATTGTTTCAACATACCTATAATTATTATCTGTTATATAAAGATCACCTCAGTGCCTTGTGTTTCCTTAAGTGATTTGCCTATTGCATCATATATCTGTTC